ATATTGACATAATTTTCGCCACTTATTTTAAGTGATCGACCTATAGTCTGTCAATGAATACGAATTATTTGACAACAGACTATAAGAATTATTTTTATTATGTTTGACATGAAATGCATGTATATTTATAAACGAAAAGCTACTAGATGTCAATATTAGTGTATCATCAAGAATAGAACAATGGTAACAGTTCATTTTCCGAAAATCTAAGACAATTTATATTTAACTGATTATTAAGTGTTATAATCCAAAATGAAGATTACCAGGCAAACTATTGTTTCATCGTATAAAAATAAAAAATATGCACATTTATGGTCTGTCCATAAAAAATTGTATTTTTTAGTCCGGAACACAACTATATAAAAAGTATCTAGATCAATGTTTATTCTAAATGAAACATATTTTTATGCATTTAGTTGTAAGTTCGTATGAAAAATGTGATTCGCAACATGAACCAGTCATTTAATTTATGTTTGTCAATAAGAGATTCAAAATTCTATAGCTATGAAATGCCTTGAAAGAGAACATGCTTATCAAACCCATTCCAAACGAAATTATTTTAACGTGCTGATTAAACGTTGAATAAGAGCCAGTATTGCAATGATTTTTCCTACTTCAAGCAGTGCCTTGATTTAGTCTGTTTCAGAATCCTTGAGGAATAATTAGGTATTACTGCATTGAGAACGAGTCTTGAATTCTAACAAAATGCTTCAATTTCAAAACTAAGGGGTCATACAGGTCATTGATCCATTTCATGTAACCCCAGAAACATTTGTTTCTTGTAATCTCTAGTAGAACGAAAATACCATGGAAAGAATTTATTGTAAAGAATATTCCTAGCCCAAATATTAGTGTTTTATTCTGTTTAATATTCTCGTCTACGATAATAAGATTAAGATAACTACATTTTACGGAATGTTAACAGATAGTTAGGTGGGACCTAATAAACGGATTAGATGCAATTCTCATTACTAGTAAGTATTTATACAGGTTGGTTTATCGTTTATTTCAGGAAGATTTGCGCTTGACAAGGAAAACATTTCAAAAAATATATTTGAATAAGTTGGCTTGAATAATAATTCCAACTGAATTTCAATATCGTACATATAACTGAATGGATAATAATATATATACGTAACATTTAATGTGCTACTGAAAGCCGCTAATGTATCTCATCTTATTATTCTTTTTCAGTTCATCCCGAAGTTCAACGATCGTACATGCGCTTGACTCATTTTCAAGATTGTTCCGGTGAATTATACTCCCTGTATACAATCTTCAGTGTATAAAAATATTCACCTCTCACTTTGCACTATTTCAAAACAAGCTTCTGTCCTTATTCCAGATTTTTTGTCGTTATGAACAATTTCAACCAGTGTATTTTAAAACCATATATGCGGCCACATTTTGAGAATCTTTCCAATTTTATTGAACCTACTCTTTTTATCTTTATTTAAATGCAGAGTCCAGTCAGTTTGGTTATAGTATATGAGCTATTTGAAATCAAAGAGAATATTTTAATCCGGATATTTAGCTTTATTATCATTAATACTGATTTCACAGATTATCGAACTTTATAAACGGCTTGATAGTTTCCCATTACATACTATGACGATATTGGGAGCAAAAGATATTGTTTGTGTCATCAGGCTTTACGAATCGATCTTTGGAACTAAAATATAGTGAAGTCTTAACGGTATTTGGTCAAACGTATAATGATATACATGTTTAGAAGTACATCATTTGATTGTTATTTATGAGGGTTATAATTCCGATTAGTTTGTCTTTAAGAATGACAATGTTTACATTGGGTAGCATACCACAAATAATAGATGTCTTATTTATTTATTTAAACACGTAAATATTGATACAAAGGAGCGCCAGATATATATGTACCACACAAATCTCATTTGATTTGTGTGAGTGCTATGATACTGCGCAGGTGGTCTTCATAGGAGGCAACACCCAGAGCCTTTGATCTAAAGTTCTGATCCACAAAGCAGTAGAGCAACCTTACGGGATGCAGTCCCAAAAACAGTCCCATTAGCCGGTGGCCAATAATTAGTTTATACGCCATTTGTTCCCTCAGGATCCTGGAGCCCGTGTGCACCATTGGTTTGGAATCAGGGTTTTTCAACTCATCTAGGTGGACTTTCCGTGTCCACCAACCCAGTGAAGGCGCTGGAAGTTCGCTTTTCGTCTTCTCGATTTCGTAAACACCCCCGCCACGAGGAGGCAGTGAGTAGGACTCTCCTGGCAGACCATATACGCGTGGTCATGTGAGAGCATTTCGAGAGGAAGAGTAGACTCTCGGCCGTACCAGGGCATTCGGAGGATTATATATATGTGTTCTATTCAGTTTTTACACTTTCCTTTGAATAGGATCTTGTTTGAGCCTCTCTTTAGTCGTCATTCACTCTTCCTTGACAATAAGTCCCGTTACGGAGTATTTCTAAATGTGTTTTAGGGTATATATTGTAATCAATGTTGTCGACATGTTTACTCAAAATGCTTTCCTTAGGTTAAGGTTACTCAATAAAATATTAGATGATGCTACAAAAAATCCTTGTAGCTTTGGGTAAACGTCTGTTACTCAGTTTGAAAACGATACAATAACCGTATCCACCACAGTAGTTTATTGTATCTCTCAACAAGATGTTAACAACCGACAAAACACGGAACGATAATGACACGTCATTAAATGTGATAGGATGGTTAGTGCAACATTACACACGGCGCAAAGAGTGTAAAGCAGCGACTTCGAGAGCCATTTTAACTAATGCAGTTAAATCCCCGTCTGTTGTATTGTCTGTATAAAACGAAAAACTTTACAACAGCGTGTTAACTTTATTTTGACATTTAATTACCCATTTACGTATTCAGTCATCATCAACACAACCTAGCACAGCAAGATGTACTTAGTACAAAAAGACAGTTAGAGGGTATTTTCGAAGAGCTTTTTCGTTATCTTTAACGATAACTACACTTCAACGATTTCGTACATCTTTATGTGCCGAAAAATAACTCGGGTGACTGATAGTTCAACGTGCGGAACGCTGCATCACGACTTTACCAACAATTTTACCATTTGCGAAGTGCTATAAGATATTGTGATGATAATGGACAGGTTTTTTCTATATAATTAGAGTACGTTGAATATTTGAAATTCATTTTACCTGTGACTGTGGATACTAATCTGCTCATGGTCATATGCGTAATTGTCGATTGTGTATTTATTTGAACACAAATATTGGTACAAATGGGCACCAGATACATGTGCGTTACACAAATCTCATTTGATTTTTGTGAGGGCTGTGATACTGCCCGGGAGCGCAAACCGAAGCAGGTCGATTGTTAGTTCTGAACACTGATTAAGGAAGAATGAATGAGAACTACTTCACATATTCGACTTGGTTACATATTATAATAAGGTCACTGTACATTTGCGAATCGTTAAGTGTCTTTAATAAACATATTTTGTGTTATATCCCAATGAGTAAAAATTGTGTTACTGATGTTTCGTGACTTAACGTAACCTTCTTTAGAGTAAATAGTTGGGATACAACAAGAAGTATATTTATTATTAACTTTCTACCCGATATTCAATTTATTCGGAACAATCAATTAGGTGTTTTGTTGATTTCAGATTTTGTACCATCCAAAGGGATTCAATTAGCTTAAACGGGATGAAGGATCGAGTCGATTTTATTAATACCTTCCATAGCAAGTACACTATGTGTAAGTGGAATCACATTCATGAGTCATGATGTTGATCAACATAGTCGCTACATTAAAATACTTCGAAATAGGGTTAAACATCCGTAGAATATTTTGCTAAAAAGTCTTCAGGATGAATAATACAACTTTTTCCAAATATCGTTTTGTGGTAGTGGTATGATATCCCCGAGTTCTTAAATGAGAAAGCCGCTTTATATTTACACATGCTTTCGGTTTAGAAGCAATTTGTCTCACTACAAACATTACTAGAGTGTATTCTTGGGGTTGACCATTCAGGCATATAAATCCTGGGAATTAGTTTAAGCAAACGTACGAAACCAATATTCGCCAGCTGCGATCTCAAAACACCAGAGCATCCGAGTAGGTTAAAGGATGACTGAAAAATCATGCCGCCAGTTTTTGAATGGACCATCGATTTGAAGCATGTTACGGGAAAACAATTCTATTATCACCCTTAATGATAACTGGAGAACTTAGGTGCTTTGTAATTATTTGTCGTAGCGTGGATGCATTGTTTTTTTCTAAATCTTATTATAATCCACTCTTAACTTCTAGGCTTTTGGGCTCATTCCTTTTTTGTACTTTACTCTTAAAGGTTAGCCTTTGTAATAAAATATCGACAGCTACTATCAGTTACTTTGATTTGTTTTCTTAACTCCTGATATGATGCGTGACAAGTTGAATATGGGAACATTAGTGCAGCGTCTAGGAGTCGTTTTTCACTACCTAACCAGATCAAACTACTGTTGTTTGGAACGGATAGTCGATATTCAGATAAAATATCTTTTGACAGATGCAAAGCGTAAGCTTACACTTCAGACAAATTACACCAGATCACGTCAATTGAACATCCAATTTACATCACTTCTTAAAAAAAATTTTCAGAGACATACCTTGCTAACTGCGAAGAAAACTAATAGAGATAATAATGCTTAAATGAACATAGATTCTAATAACTCGCACCAATGTAATTGCGAGAGAAAAATTAGACGTGCTAAAACTTTTAACCCATAAAGACTGCAACCAACCAGTGAAACGATGATAGTAAACCTACATCAATAGGTTAAAATATAAGCATTGGAAACAAACATATGTAATAGACAACGTCACACCTCATTAAAGTACCGCATTTCCAGGAAACTGAGTAGATATATATTTGACCTACAAATCGGGGCAACAATTTATACTTGTCTACTAGTTGTAAGCGTTTACAGCAGGATACTCTGCTCAACATTGAGAAAATTTACTTGAAATGGGAATGTTCACTGGGCCAGATTTAAAATCTTTAGATGCGTCCGGATAAGATTAGTGAGATAAGTGATCATCAGCAAATCTTTATAGCTCGAGTTGATCAGTTGCTCCAAATGATCAGGGTCTAATTTGGGGATTGAGAAAATTAACTGTGCTATGGACCTCCCAATTTTTGGGTCAGCTGGACATTTGTTATCGATAACATTTTCAACATAACGAATGACCTGATCCAACATAGTTAGCAGATGTTGTGAAAGTTGATACAGATAGACCATGTCATCTCCAAGCTGAAAGTTTCAAACAGATCATAAAATTGTCATCTCGAAATGTTATACATAACTGCTTATGGATAATACGAATGTTTTTTTTAAAAAACTGACGAGAACAAGCAAATGTAATTAAACAGATCTTTTACTCGTTTCATGAGAAAAGTGAATACGCAAATGAATCAATTACAGTCGAAGCGTTTTAACGGTTATCAAATCAAACATAAAAGCACTCATATATCTACGAATTATACAGAAATATGACTCAAAGGGCATAAACGATCAAACAAACTATGGGTGCTTTTCATGTTTCTATTGATTGGAATCGATAATAATCAACAGGCAATCAGTTAGTCATACGCAGTATAGAACCTGGCATTCATGTGTATGCATTCACGTTGCCATACCATAGCGCAGCGAGATGAAATTATCAAGACAAATCCCAGAAAATAGAATTAATAATAGTATCAGTAGTAGTAGTGGTACCGTTCAGGTAGGAGTGTACAATTACCTGAAAGACATATCCATATCACTTCAGTCAGTGAAGATTCACTAGCTTTTCGACCGATTTCTCACCTTTAGCAAACAGTGTCTTACCACCTCATTGCTCTCTCAACGCTTCCAATGTATTTTAGGTACTATGTAAGTCAAACCGACTCCTTGGTGGTTATCATAGAAGAGCTTTCACCTTTTTTTCAAACTGGGACGAACAGCAATCGAAATCAGCCAGAAGTGTTTATGTTCATTCCCCAGCCAATCCAGTTGCTAAGACTAAATTACGCCTAAAGATTTCTAGGACTATTCCACCCGAACCGGCCGCTTGTTCTTGCTTTAGGTTACTTATAACCTTGGCAGCATCACTAAGAGTTAGAGAACCCACATCAATTTCTTATTTAGGTTCTTTGGATAAATTAGCTTATTGAAGGCCAGTTGAACTGTACCCAAAATTGTTTTATTCATCGGTCTGATTTTTAATGTAAGTGGGTAATAATCCCTCCTTCCACCGAGATAGTTTCAAAAACAGCCGGATTTGCATACCCGTATTTTTGATAAATCTGAAAGGTCTTGTGTTTACCACTGTGGCTTCCTATTCTTTCTATTTCCTCCAGTACCAAACACCTCACGAGCGTTGCGTAAGGTCTTAATAAGTATTTTCAAGCTGCCTCTACTCTACGTCGCGTTTGGAGCTTGGCGTGGAGCTTTGGGGCATTTATCAGTTTTGTGGACGCCACAGAAAGCCACTGATATTTCTTAACGTTTTGGTTTAAGTTGTTGGTAGATTTCACAGCTATTTCCGAGCTGACTGCTTCTCTGGTTGTTCCTGAAATAGATTTTTGACTTTTTCCTCATTAAACTGAACACAAAGGCATGTACTTGTGGCTTTTCTATGTCTAGTAGGAACCTGCAAACATATGCTTGCATTAAAGAGTAACCAGAGTCTAAACATATGCCACAGAATGATCGGTAGTCTTTCACCGGGCCTTTCAAACGATAGCTGAAAGAACTGTGGTCTATTTGTGTTCAACATCGAAGTCCATTGTGAGGTTGGTCATGACGGATGTAGATGTTTGTTAGAAAAAACTATCTGAGTACATTTTCAGCACCCGGTCACTATTCAATTGGCCAAAACCTCTTGAGACCCATTTAAATGCCTTTCAGTCTGGGTTTGAACTACTGACTTGGACAGTAAGATCACATATTATTACGTCTGAAATTTTGGGATTTTTAAGGAAGATGAGAGGCTTTCTATAAAATCCATCTTTACTCCATTTAATCTCCAATAAGTAAGAATGTATGTAGAATCAACGATGAGAGTACGGTATGTTTACGTCTTCTCCAGTTCTTACTATTTCATTTACTAAAAAGCAAGTGGGCAGGGCAATAAAAGTCGACTACCAGTCACTTATTCCTGAGTTTGAATCTCGTTGTACCTACTTTGGTTTGAACAATCGAGTAGCATCATCAAATCTCAACACTGTTGATGTTGCTCACTGCCAAGCATCTGATTTTTTTCTTGCTGTCTCGTCCAGTCAGATAGTGCACAGGCGACTGTCTATTGAGATCTAGTCCAACTGAGTCTGTTCTACTTTTGAACTTAGTGCTATGCCTATTTCAGCGAGGCCAGAGAAAGTAATATTAACGTCTCGGAATACACTCGGGTTCTCCATTTTGATGAGGTGACGTCCAGTAAATGACCATACTTGGGTTCTACATGCGTGTTTTGAAAGCATAGCACAAGACTTAACAGTCCCTCCTGGTCGGCTTCATATACGGTCCAAACATTGAAAGCTCTAACATACAATTTAAAGAACGGTTCCAAATCATGAGTAACATTTCATAAACTTGAATTGTTAGTTAGTGGTGTAGATAGGAGAAAAATTAAAGTGACGAAGGGATCCCATATTTAAAAAGTTGGTCTCTGTTGTTATCAGAGATATGAGAGCGACTGTCACTTCCAGGTTGCTAAGAGCTGGTATAAGTGATTGCACTAAAAAATTTATCAGAACTATGTGATAAATCAGCGCGACATATTTTGAACAATTTGATTACGTATTTGCTTTCCAAGACCTTTATACATAAAAGGCAAGGATAACTAAGGAAAGTGAAATGAACCACAGCATTAATTTGTAAATTATCACTATCACGGCAGGTTAAAAGTGAGCATAAACTGTCTTTAAGCACATAAAGGAGGGATAAATCATCATACATCCAAAACTCCTATGAATTCTGGTATTCGCCCCTGGCCTCTGTCACAACACTACAAACGCTGACTTACTATCCAACCTATGTCCCGTCTAATAAGGTTATATAATAAACAACTGTCTTACTCCATTACTAAACATTTAGTAGTAACGGGTCATAGGGTTTACATTAAATCAGTGTTTATGGTGTTATGTGAAAGTGGCCAGCGAGGAATACTAATGCCTATTGATTGGTCGAAATATATTGCGCTTATATATTACGTGGTTCTGATAAGCCCTGTCATTTAAGTGTGCTATATAAGTCGATCAGAACTTCCAAATAATAACTTGACTCAAAAATCAAACACAGGTGTATGTTGCTAGCTCTTAGTTATGCTTAGTAGACGGTCTCATCACACTTATTCAAAATTTTGGCGTTACTTGTGGTTAAATATGACAAATCGTATGTATCACAACCAACTTCACTTATCTTGGATGTCTGATCGGCCCTAATGGGTTGGTGTCTCACGAAATCTCTGCACAGATTCAAAAGGCTCCTTTGGCTGTCGTCACCTATGGCGAAGACGAGATATCTCTCTGTCAAGTAAGGGACGAGTATATTGAGTATATATTGAGGGTACAGTTCAATGAATTATCAGCTTACTTCAGGTTCTAATTTACTCCTTGGATCAATAGAAGAAACCATCATTTCAACGGCACAACGTTCTGCACCGTAACACTCGACTTCTACCTCGACCGGTACAAAGATAAAGCCCTGTGTTCCCCCAGGAATACCCATCTTTCTACATAGGTAAGCTTTTATGGCCATTTTGTCCCCGATAGTCATATTTGTGTCAACCATTAAAAAGATTGCATTTTTCGACTTCTGCATGTAAACATCTTGATGGATAAGTTTGAGGGTCTCTGGAATTTCATTCCCCGTTGCATACCACCCAACTATATTATGAGAAGGATTCACCTAAAAAATTAATTTTTTGGCAGAAACCAATTACTTTGCGCTCAAGAACTGTCATATTGTTTTTGAACTCTATGTCCATGGACACATCGACCGCAGATTCTTGGTGCAGAACACTGTAGCAATGAGTAACTTCGATTATCCCTTTTCCCCACGTCCCTGTGGTAATCATAAAAACAACGTTATCATACCAAGGAGAGTGCCTATAACTCTCTCTGATCCTTCCGCGCGTCTTTCATATGCATCGACAATTGATGCTAACACCACAGGATGAACGTGAACTGCTGAACCTGACTCCATTCACGTTGAGCACTTTTTGTAAAGCGCGCTCTGAATATAGGTTGATCATCAATTTTCAATTCTGTTTTTTTTTCAGTCAGCCTTTCGTAATAAGGATAGAAGGTCAGTCGACCCGTGTTAGTCCTCATAATTTGTTGCACAGTCGAGATCGAATTTTCCTGTCAACGTAGCAGCAGACTGTGACGATATTATGTGATCTGATTGATTATAACATTTCAAAAAGTTCAAAAGTTTGTGGATGGAATAGAATAAGCTTCCGTGTCCAGTAGCAATGAATCACCAATACCAACAGTAAAGCAACTAAGTATATTAAGGATAATAGAGGAAAAAGAAATCAGTAATTCATGGTAAGGTGTTATCATTAGTTCTTAAGAATATATCAAGTTTTCTCTTAAAGGACTTCTGAGAAGTCGCCTGAACTAGCTCAGCCGTCAGCAAATTACAACATTTAACCATTCCTAAGGGGTAGAAGGTGTGTCTACACTCCGTTCTGCTATGTTGTGTCTCCAGTTTCTGGTTGTTACCCGTAAGATTTGTGTTGGGACTAAGCTTAAGTATGTGTTTAACGGGGTGTCCTTAGGTGTTAAGGATACTGTAAGCCATTAGAAAGTCACCTCCAAGACACCTGTACTCTAATGAGTAAGGGTTAAGTGATTGGAGGAGCTCTTCATAAGACTTGAATTTGAGTCCCTGAATTGATTTCGTGGCTCGCCGTTAGACACGTTCCAGAGTGTCCTAATCCTTTTGCAGTGAGGGAGGAAATACTGTTTCCGTACTCTAAATAGAGACAAATAAAACTGTTGAAGATTATGTAAAAAGTTCTTCCGTCAAACTGGCCAAAAGTGCGCTTCAACTTTACTAGTACAAGATTTGCTCAGAAGACATCCTTGTCACAGTTAGCGTAAGAATTCAGATCGTAGGGTACCAGCACTCCTAGATCTTTTTCAACTTAGGGAACTTCTAGAGGGAAGTTCCCCAAGTTGTATTTGTAGGCTGTAACATATCTCAGATGGACTACTTTACACTTTGAAGTGTTAGAGGTAAGTCCGTTATCGTCTTCCCAAATTCGAAGTCGAGTCAGATCCTCCTGAAGTGCCAGTTCATCATTATGGCTCCATACTTCTCGCCAGAGCTTCACTTCATCAGCGAAAAGTAATAAATCTGACGATACCTGCTGTGGAAGGTCGTTTACATAAATCAACAAAAGAAGAGATCCTAGCACTGGATCCTGAGAGACACCAATAGGATATTCCATAGCCTTGGAGAAGGTGAAGTTAACTCTAACCTTCAAATGTCGATGTTTTATATATGAGGTGAGTCAATCAGTTAAATGTGATTTGATACCTAACCATTTCAGCTTATCGATAAAACATATATGGTTGACCCTATCAAAAGCCCTTGAGAAAGCAGGGTATGTGACGTCAACCCTCCTCTTGAGATCAAGGATGATCGTCCATCTGTCCACAGAGATCTGCAGGTTGGTTATGCATGAGTGACCTTTCCTGAACCTGTGTTGTTGGGGCGAAAATAAGTTTATGGATAGTAAGTAGTCTTGTAGACCATCCCATACCAGGGACTCCTTAATTTTCGAGGGTATAGAGAGAAACGCTACCGGTCGGTAGCTCGATGGTTCTCTGCATCGACCTCATTTGAAAATTAGTGTGATGTGGGCCACCCTCCAATTTTCTGGTAATGTGCCCCGGCTTAGTATACGTGAGAGCATCACGCTAAGCAGTTTTGCAAGGATTGAAGCTGATTCCCTCAGTATAGCAAGATGGACCATATCCTGACCAGGAGAAGCGTCTATTTCGGGTGCTGCAGTTTCCGGTACACCAATTCAGAGCTCAGATTCATTTCTGAAAGTCTTATTGAGTTGCAGGTGAAGCTTTCATCAATGTAGTTAATATGGGTCGGTTGAAATGTCCGAGAGTACTGTTCTACCAGAAGGTCAGAGGCGTCACCGTTGTTGTTGTTTTGGCTATTAGGACCTAGCAGTCGAAAAACTCCGGTTTTGGCTTGTCGAAGGGGAACCGCATAACGAAATGAGCTTTTCGGATTGGAGATAAATTTATGGATGAGCTTTGCCTGATACTGAAGCCTATCTTCTCTTATTGCCTTTGTGCATGGGTTCCTCGCTTTTTTTGAGTTGCCCGTATACTTTTCGATAGTGTAATAAGAAGACGAAGATTATCAGAACTATGTTATATATTAGCGCAATATATTTCGAACAATCTGATCACACATATACTTGTTAGATGCATTTATATATAAAAATAAAATGTCAACTAGACTGGAAATGGGGGTAAAAGAAGACCTACTTACTTACTTACTTCTTTTACTACCGCCGACCAGCATTCTCCTACCAACTATGTCCTGGACCTTTCTTTCTAGTTCCATCCGATTTTTGTTCGTTCTTTTCATGTTTGTCTCCATTTCTCGGCGTAATGTGTTCTTTGGTCTTCCTCTTCTCCTTCGGCCGTCAGGATTCCATATGAAGGCTTGATTTGTGACGCAGTTGGGTGATTTCCTCAATGTATGCCCTATCCACTTACAGCACTTCTTCCTGATCTCTTTCTCCGCTGGAATCTGGTTTGCTCACTCCCTCAGTAACTTGTTGCTGATAGTGTCTGGCCATCAGATCCGAAGTATCTTGCGTAGACAACTGTTGATAAACACCTGTATCTTCTGGATGATGGCTTTTGTAGTTCTCCACGTCTCCGCCCCGCAATCATTCTGTTTAACAGTACCCTGTTGAAGACTCTTCCTGGTATTGAGAGAAGAGTGATTCCTCTGTAGTTATCACACTCGGTGAGATAATCTGTCTTTGGTATGTTGATCAGAAGTCATTATTTCCAGTCTGTTGGTACTTATTCTTCATCTTAAATCTTGCTGCAGAGAATGTGGAGTATCTTTGCAGTTGCTGCTACATCTGCTATCACTGCCTCTGTCGAAATATTATCTGGACCCGCTGCTTTGCCACTCTTGAGTTGTCTTATGGCCATGCTGATCTCTTCAGTTGTTGGTGGGCCAACATCGATTGGGAGGTCTGTGGGTGCTACTTCGATGTTGGGTAGGTTCAGTGGAGCTGGTCAATTCAAGAGTTCTTTGAATTGTTCTACCCACCTGTTTCTTTGTTCCTCAATATCGGTGATTACTTTGCCTTCCTTGCTTTTCACTGGTCTTTCTGGCTTACGGTAATTTCCAGCAAGTTTCTTTGTCGTATCATACAGTTGTCTTATGTTTCCTTCTCTTGCAGCCTTTTCCGCTGTCATTGCTAAATCTTCCACATATTTACGTTTGTCGGTTCTGATGCTCCTCTTCACTTGCTTGTTTGCCTCTGTGTATTCGGCTTGTGCCTTGGCTTTTTCTGCTCTTGTTCGGCTGATATTGATTTGTAAATCTCTCACACATAGTTCTGATAAGAGCGACGGTGTCTGACTGTCTGTCTAACGAGTTTCCTACCTGACATTTTTGAACAATCCCAGGTTGGAGGATTGAGCTTCAGCAGAGTTTTTGTCTCCAAAGGATGTGAGGTCCGCGAAACTCACTACAGGAAGACTGAAGTCATCTGTAGAATCATGGTAAACTTCGTCATTAGTACTGTTCTAATAATATACCCAATCCTAAAATTGTGGATTTGTCATGATATGACTACCAAATCTTTAAGATCTTACGTGGACGTCACATCATTATCTACACTGACTCATCCTCTCGTAGTCACCACTAATATGTGATGAAGAACACATCTAAACTGGGGATACAGCAATATACTTCATGTGAGTATACTTACATGGACCAACGAATGAAAGACCGCCTATAAAGAGGTCTATTGGAAATAAAGGCTAAAGAAAGGAGGTTTCTTACTTTCCCCATCCTCGAAAAGACAGCGAGTAGGAAACACCTTGAAAACTTAAACGCAAGGCTAGGCCTGTTCCTAGCAGGAAAAAAACAACCTGACTACACAAGTCATCGACAATCATCCAGGATCCCATAATGTGTGCAACGGAACTGTGATTGCCACTCCAATGAAATCTGATGAACAGGTACAGATCAACAATAAGAAACGATCAAATGTTGCTAAACAAAAGCTGGTTCGACAAACAAAAGTCGAGAGATTGAAGATTGATCGCAGTGACCGGTCAGTCGCTGTTCAAAGAGTACATGACTGGGAAAGTTCGGAATCCAGAACTCGTTTACAGCACGACATTGAGTCGGCAAAAGAGCTACTAAGGCAGCTACTGAATGGTATAGTCTGCAGCAATCCAAACTGTGTGGTGAATGAGGTCTTGCTACATGATTTCAACGCCTGGTCTTCAAGTGGTCGATTTTTAATCTTCAGTGAGTTTAATGCATCGACGGTAGGCTGGAAAAATCTGAAGATTGAGTTGTCAAGAAATCCCTTCAAACAAAAGATAGTTGTCGCTATCATCACATGTGCCCCAGTGCGACATGTGAAAGGAGCAACTAGGTACGACGTGGATTCTGAATCATCTTTGCTAGGTACGATATTGACCCATTGTGAGTGTCGTCAGACACCTTGATTATCTGCCACCCTCGAATAACATCGATCATGCAGTTATAGTCTTCGATTTCCATATCGCTATCAACAGTGATGCGTCAGCCCAAACCAAATCGAACGTCTGAAAGGGAGATATACAAGACATTACACACTCAGCATCCTCAGTAGATAAGGCAATAGAGTCGCAGTCCTCGAATGAATCAGCTTTCGAGGTATCCAGAAATTTGTACATAAAGGTTAATCGACAGCAAGTTCCTCGGACTACACCAAGGAATCTGAGAAGCTCCCCACTGTTGTTCAGTATATATGTTCACACCCTTCTCTGTAAGCCTAAAAAAATATGGGAGAGGTTTAGGCTACTGAATACTTTTGGAACAAGATTTAAAAATTTGGAAGCTTGAAATGTTGTGCCTTAACCCTCAGCAAGTTTAGAAGTTTGTCCGGCGAAAACATTGCTAAGGAATCTAAAAGATACCCTAAA